AATTTTAGAAAGGCTGTAAGATACTATTTGAAGATCAAAACTGGTATTGTAAAACACTGAAGACCACTCTGACGACTTTGCAATAAATTTATTACGCAGTCTTCAAAAAAAAAACTAATTCTAATTTATTCCACACTAAGGTCTTATCGTTGCCGTCACTGTATTCTTGTTGGCCCAACTCGCCGTCATTGCCATCTGGACCTATCTACACCAGCGACGCCGGAAGCAACAACACTACAGCAATGAGGGACTCAGCAACGCCTCCAGTTATGGTTCACACAATGGCGGCTCGACAATGGTGACCAGTGTGCCGAATGCGCGATCAGAATCGTTATGCAAGCTATATGATAGCGGTTTCGCAGGACGACATGGACGCCAATTCTAGATGAGCACGGGAAATAAGAACAGAAAAACACAAGGAAGGCAAATAAAGGATATAGAAAGAGAACAAACGATAAACCACCTTATAAGGATTTATTGAGCAGTAGAGGCGAAGTGTTGATGGGTTGGTTTGGGGGTAGAGTCTGAAGAAGAAAAACAAAAAAAAAAAACGCGAGTATTCTTGCCGCAAGAAGTTAGAGGGTATAATAGATAACATAATTGATGCAATATGATGAAAATTATAAAGACGAACGCCATTAAGAAAAGGTAGTAAGGCAATATGAAGTGAGGCGTTGCTTAACAGATTTAATATTCGAGGTGCGTTCAGATGAAACTCACATGGTGCCGGATAGTAAATCTCGTGGGCAATTTTAAAACATTACACACTGATAATATTGATTAAAGTAAATAATAGTTTATTATTATACACGAAAATATGCAAGAAAAAAATATAACAAATATAACGGAGCTGCGGTGAGACGAAGACAATATAGGAAGAAGAAGAAAAATAGTCTAAAAAACTAGTTTTAAGTTGTGCAATGAAACAGACACAATTGCAATTGAATATTTAAGCGAAAATCGAATGCATTAAGACATTACAAAAAACAATATATTTATACATTTGCACACAAATATGCACATAGGAAAATATGTAGTAGAAATGCATTTTTAAACAGAAAAAAGGACGACTGATAGTTAAAATTTGTATTAATTTTCTTTAAGAAAATTGCAAAATTCAAAATGCAGCAAATTAAGGAAATTTAATACGATGCCAGAACGGTTTGCAAGCTATAGCGTGGTTGAGCTGCAAGCGAGACTTAAACTTAAGTAGATTTTATGCATACATTATATATAACTAAGATAACGATAAATGCAATTAAAGACATGCAAAACATTTAGCTTTTAGTGTTGCTGCATTTATTGAGAAGTAAAAAAGTTAAAGTAGTTAAATCCAATCAATAGTTTTAGAAACTAGTTTTACAAAACACACGAAAACACAGTGAAAGAGTACAGCCACAAAGCAACACACATACATACATATACACATACAGCATACCACTACAGTCACAAAATACATAATCGCACCGCAATACCACACACTTATACACACACACATTCAATAACGCATTAACGCTTAAGTTACACAGTTAATAACTGAATGCAATATAATTTAATTTAGTTATGCAAGAAAGAAAGCAAGAAAATTACGCGTAATTTGTATGCCACTAAGCTCGACTTTTCACTTGTCCTTTTTTCTAACACATCAGGCAACGACAAAAAATATACATAATTTATATTTCATTTATTAATTTAATTACAATGATTTTGCGTTTATTTTAAAACTTTGGAATGAAATTCTACTTATATAATTTATTCTTGTAGTCTAACCTTAGTTTATAATATCGAAATATATATGTATAACCGAACGGCGGCAGTGTGGCCGCCAGTATAGTTAATATAATATTTTTAGTTAACGCAGTAAACCTACAGATATTGCCTAAACCACGCCTCTTTGTGCTAAGAGTGAAAATGAAAATATATTTGTAATTTGTGTTAAATTTCAAATTTGTCATAAACATTTTTTTACGCAATTCAAATAATTTTGTACTCTTTTTTTGATAAAAATTCATAAATAAATAAAGTAAAATAATATATAATACATTGTGTGTGGTTTTATTTCTAAAATAAATTGATGAACAAGAAAACAAAGATAACTTTCGCTGCATCGAAGCTATACGGAAACAAAACAAATCGTTGCATGGAAGCTAGGGTGTTCTTGCACAAATAAAAAAGTTTACATAGAAGAGTTTGATTTGGATCGGTCAGTTTGTATAGCAGCTATTAACTATAGGGGACCGATCGGAACAATATGTTTGAAGATTTTAGCGTTACCTTAGAAAATAATATGTGTCAAATTTTGTAAAAATAAATTGTCAAATAAAACCGCATACCATACAAGGATTTGGATCGATCAGCTTGTATGGCAGCTATATGCTTTAGGGGACCGATATGAACAATATCTTCGAAGATTGTAGTATTGCACTGGACAATAACACATGCCGAATTTCGTGAAGATATCGTGTGAATATAAGAAGTTTTCCATACAAGAACTTTACTTTGATCGTGTAGTTTGTATAGCATATATAACTTATCATGGTCCGATATCGGTGGTTCCGACAACTTAGCAGATTTTTGGGAAGAAAACGACGTAGGGAAGATTTCAGATGGATATTTAAAAAACTGAGGGTCTAGTTCACGTATATACAGACAGACAGACGCTCATGGCATTTCGACTCGAATTTTGCTCAAAATTTAAATGAGTTTTTTCCCGCCAATAATACATTTTTCATACAATCGAAAAAATGGACGCTCATTGTACTGAGTAACATTTACAAAATGAGCAGAAAAAATCAAAGCAATCGAAAGATTTATCTTCGAGTCACACTGCAGCATTGCGTTTAAAGTTAAGCTGATTGAACTGAGCGGCTACATTTTATAAGGCTTTAACTCAGAAATATTTAAAATATTAATTTAAACATTTATAGTATTATTTTTTAAGGTATACGTAGACTATCAAAATAAGCAAGCAGAAATAAAATCAATTTTTGTCATAATTTCACACTAGGTGTGCCCATAAATATTTGAACGTAGCAAAACTAATGAAGTAATGTGGAACGTTATGGATTGTTAACTAGTTTTATCTTTCAGAAAGTGAAATCAACGACATATTATTTGTTGCTGACAAACAAATTTACAGGAATGCGGAGAAACATTATTAAGTCATTAAGTCTATGAAAGCGTTTAACTCTAAATAGAATATGACGTATATTGAAGGGTTAGAGAGAGTTTTTAATCTATACATCCTGTTGGTTATAACATGCGTATATACATATATCAAATCGCTATATTTTCGCTGAATTCTTAAATTTAAAGAAATCATTCCAAAAAATATATATTTTTTGTAGTCATCTCCTCTGCTAGTGTTTTGATAGCTGAGAATTCATTACAATTTAAATACTATAAAGTACTAGCTTTACTAGCGCCTCCGCTCGCATTGAATCCCTTAAATAAATATCAATGAGCATTAACAAAAACAATTAACTGTACACATAGTAGTTTTTCGATGCACTTTTGTTATGCAAGATTTTCAAATTCTTCGACAAGCAATCATATCTGCCAAAATCAATTTTTTCACAATTCCTAAAAAATATGTTTCTTTAATAATATACAACCTGTGTCTTTTCTAATAACATTAGGAATAGGTGTGCAAAGTTTCATGATGAACGGTTAAGTGATTTCGGCGTCAAAGTGTAACAAACAAACTTACATACACGTTTATAATGTTGCAAGTGTGGATAGTATGGATATTTTATGGAACAATTTCATACTAAACCAAGCGGAGCAACAATAATTTGGATGTATGTTATTCGGTCCAAATTCATTATAATAATCTTTGGCAATTTGCAGATACTATTTTGAAAAAATAGTCATTGAATTGTAGTTGTTGTAGCAAACAGCTAATTGATTAATTAATCTAATTTTCCATGAATTTATCTTGTAGGTATACACGTTTTTATAGTCGAATTTGATATCAATTAATTCAAAAATAAATTAACATTTTATACTAACCTGTTAGATAAATTTGTTAGATAATAAGATAACTCAATTAAAAACTGTATTGCATCGAATTGAAAGGCTGCATCATTAACTGTTTTTCTTATTAGAAACTGAATACATCAGTGGTCAGAAACTTAGAAATGTCCAAAGTTAAAGCACTCTGCCATCGCTGATCGAGACAAACTTATTTGTCATAGCGTATATGTTACGAGTGTTTATGAAAGGTAAAACCCAAATTACCTTTAAGCATACATCAGGTTTGAAAATTGCAAACCATGATACCTGCTAGCTTCATACTTCATCTAGATGTATACAGATCAATATTTCAACGAGTTATATACTGCTTTCTGGCACAGATATTTTTACGCTGACATACCATTTTTATAATTAAAGTCCCATAATTGCATAGCAATTACCACAACCCGCTCATTAAAACTGTCGTCGTTTAAAAATATAGTTTTAAAGATTCCAACTGATATTATTTAAACAATTATCTTAACATAATTTCTAACAATGTTATTTTCATATTCTTAAGAAAAATTTATATTCATAACAAAAGTAAATTTGTAAATAAAAATTATTCATAAGGGCGACTTACAAGCAGTTGTGGGACGTTTTTGGTAATCTTCGATAATTAATTATATATAGAGACTATTTAATAAAAAAAAAACTTAATTATAACACCAATAAGTAGTTGAGCTTCATGTAAGTGGCAGGTGAAAAAATTGCATCTCATAAATTTTATTTTATTGCAAACCAAAATCAATAATCCCTTAGACGCTACCAAAGTACTGACTGTCAGCATTTAGCATTAGACTATCCAAAGCAGCGTTGCCATGCGCAGCGCGCGCGTTATTCCCATCAATATCGTCGTGATTGTTTTCACTTTGATTGACAGACTGACGCACATTGCCATTTTCGATAATTTTGACATTGTTGGCATTTTCACCGTTAGACTGTTTGTCATTGTGTTTTACGTTATTTTCACCATTTCCACTTACCCTTAAACGACTATCCGCCACCGTCCACACACGCGCGCCATAATCATTTGAGGTACCCAGTATGTAAGTGCCGGTCGAGTCGAAATCCACGGAATTTATGCCGGCACTGCTGCCGCCCAAAACTGCGCGCGGCTCCTGCGCCACTGTCAAAAACAAGAGCATATTAATTATGATTGTCATTTTCATCAAAATGTGTGCTACAACAACACCGCCTACCTTTCCCCACATCCCAGAGTTTGACTTTACGATCGCCGCCACCGGTCGCTACGAGGCGTTCAACCGGACTCCAGCGCACCGCATGCGACTCATTGTCGTGCGCTTCGAATTTCATGTATATTGTTGTTGGTATTGAGGAAGACACTAAACATGGATTTAAGCTGGGCTCATGCAATGGACCCAGCATTTCATCGAGATTATAATAGTCTATGCCGCCGACTGCACCGTTATTGCCACCAGCTGTCAACGAAATGTTATCGCCGTCGTCGCCCAATTGTGAGGGGCTACCCGAATTGCGATGCTGTGAGTTGGGTTCGCGGACGGCGTCTTCGAGATCACGTTTTAATTTGTCCGAACGTTTTCTGAAAATTGACGGCAGTCGTTTTCTAGATATTTAAAAGTGGGAGTGCACAATTTGTTTATGATTTCGAAAACAAAAAGAAAAGAAGAAGAAAAGGAAAATAGTGGTTTTTCGGTACACAAACAAAAAAATTTTATTTTAAAAATTTGTTTTAGTTTATTTTTTCTGTTTTTTTTTTTTGTTTTTTTGTTTGGTCGTGTTTTGATGCATTTTGGCAATCATCAAAGTTACTGGTGTTGTTGTTTTTGCAATATTGCATTTTAGTTTTCTCATTTTTGTATTCACATATTTAGTTTATTTTTGCTTTTGAAGGGTATAGTACTTTGCTAAGCCATTAAGCGTTGTGTACACGGGTGACAGAAAGATGAGCGCACCGAATGCTGGTGGTGAGTGTGGTGAGGCGAAATGTCAGAATGTCAAAATGACGCAGGCGAATTTTATTAAACCGATGCAAATAACTTTTGCTTATGTGTGTGTTTAATTTGTGAATTTTTATTTGTATATATTTTTTTTGTGTGTTTTTTATGATTTTTTGTTTACAATGGCAATATTAGGAATGGGACATGAGGTGTTCAAAGTTAGCGCTAAATCAAAATATTATCATTTGCGAAATCAAAGGCAAATAAGTTTTTGTAATAAATTATAAAAACAACAATGAGATGTGCGCATGCAAATATACTTACACACATACTAACAACCACGCATGCTGGCAGTTATTGGCATGCACATACATAAATATACTTGTATTATATATGTATGTACATACATGATAGGTATGCAACTATGTTTTCTAAGCACTATAATTTATAATCTTAATTTTAAAATTAGGTGTATGCCGGGCATGCCAAGTTCACACCCATTACACATACTTATATACTTACATACATATTTACGCTTGTTTAATGATTTAGGTGATTAATAATTATGGCATGTCTGTAGAATAACACCAAAACCAAGTCAATTACCAACCGAATACCTCTAAATATGCTAAACTAAATGTTTGCAGGCAGACTCTAAGCTTATGCATGAAGAGTTATGTTTATATTCTTTATTTTATATAGTAATACATATGTTTCTTAAGGTATTCCTATAATACAAAAAGAATTTTTACCTCTACCTTAGTACTTAGCCGCACCGCCTGATGGCGCTACCATCACAAGATCTATTTACTATCGTGTACACTACTCTCGTGGATGAATACTGTCAACATTTTAGGGGCGCGCAGAGGTGGGGGTAGAGTGTGTCTGCAGATTTAAGAAAACCGGAAATATGGTCTAGTGAAATTACAGTGCCGATTTAAGGTGAGGAAGGTAAGAAACTATTGTGAAAAGTATTTTTAAGTCGAAGAAGTATATCAAACAAAATGGAAACTATTTTGATAACTGAATTGCTTTTCAAACGCTTTACTTTTTTTTAATAGGCTAAGTACTTTACGAACCGCCCTGATATTTCAAATCACTCTTATATTTTGTAACGAAAGCACACGGTACAAAATGTTTATATTTTTAAAAATAGTAATATTGAAAATTTGTAAACATCAAAAATAGATAAATTCAAGGAACACAAATTTTGAAAATTAATTACATGTTGGATAGATCTCAAAAATTATGCTTACATTTGTAGGTATTTGTTTAAAAATAAACTTGTTGGCTACAAATTGGAAGAAATAAACAAATAATTATAAACTAATTTATAATATGATCTAAAATACATTTTCCGATGTGTTATATATATTTTATTTTTGGATTTGGAGGAAACGTCGTAAAGGCGAATGAAAAGTTTAAGCTATTTGCTTAAATGAAAATTTTTTTAAATTAATAAATAAAATATCAACAAAGAAATTTTAGGCTGTAACAGCTTTATATATTACATATATAACTAAATTGTGGCCAAAGGAAAGGTATAAAGAAGAATTACAACCGACAATATGAATTTAAAAATACGTTTTATCGAAAATATTTTTTACAATGTGGCCAGCTATTTGAAATTTTGATACAAGTTGAAAATTTGTGGATTACTAAAAAGGGCTGACTATAGCAATTATTTTTTAAGTGGGTTGCCATTTGTTTGAAAATTTTATTTTTATTTAAATGACAAATAGAAAAACTTGAAATTATGCTTTAGAGCT